TACTTTCGGAAATTCCGAAAACGGGAGTTCTCGCGAACGAGTGAATGGAACCGAGTGAACCACCGTGCCACTGTACGGTTTCTCTCGTCCGTTCTGCGACTCCTCGCGCACGTGAGGGCACGACGCTTTGCTCAACATGTCGTTCCGTAACATCTTGCGCAAGTGCATCGACAAGACGCGCCAGATAATCGGCCACGCGTTGAAGAGGTGAACCTCGATCGGACGATTTAGTGCGAACGATGTCGAGCTTCGAGGGAAGCAGGTGATCCCTGGCACAGACAGGAAGCAGGAGCGAAAGTTGGCGAGCAACAGCAGAGCAACCGGTTGACGAAAAACAATCTGACGAAGGGAGGATGACGAAGTACGGACTGGCCAGGCTGGCACTTTGGAGGCCGAGACGTTCGGTTACCTCGCAGCCGGCCAACCAACAGGAGAACAACCCTCTGATGTATGCCGAGAGCAGCTTGTTGTATGTTGTTTGAGAGCGAACACTGTGTTGTCGCGCAGTCGCTGGCTGGCTTGCGTGGCTGGGCGAACACGGCCCCCGTGCTTTTGGTGTTTCACCGATTTTGCCGATTTGACGTTCAGCTGTAACCGATTATTGGTCTTTCTTAATAAAGCCATCCGAGACCATTTATTTATTTTTTTCGTTGTCGCTTCATTCCGCTTGCACACGTCGCCGCCAGAGCTGAATGAAATCTGCTCCGAGGAGAGTCGCGGCAGTCACCCCGACACCGTACATAGAAATTGTTTGCTACTTGTTTGTCGAAGTTTCTCGAAAAACAATTGGCAGTGCCGAGGCAAACTTGAAGTTTTGTTACTTTGAAGGAAATTCAGATTTTAAATTATCCTTTAGCCTTCTGCTCTTTGAAACGTGAAAATTAGGACATTAATTTCTCCGTTTGCCCAGAGACAAATTTAGTAAGACACATCCCACGTGCAAACAACTCGTTTGTCGGTAGCCGAGTGACTCGGAGCAATCGAGCCGCTATAACGCCTAGCGAAACTGCACGAATTTGAATCCAATCCTCCAACTGAAACTAACTTCGAATAAAAACAAGTTGAACCCTCAAACTATCCTATAGCCCGATCGACTGTTCTCTCAGCTTACGAACGAGAGAATCTTATACAAATCCAATAATTATCCACTAGAGATTCTCTAAAGGCGGCTCTAAACGAACAACTGAACTTTCTTCCGAAGCCAAACAACCGAGCAGGACTCGAGCTCATTTTCTTCAGCTCTGCCACGCTCCGACTCCCAAATTCCATCCTCCTTCCACAGCGTACGTACGCGTACACGTAACTGCGCTTTGTTTGTCGCTTTCAATGTGTCTGCAGCGTGTATCGAGGAACACCGGCGGAGTCTGTGATCGACAATGATCGTAACGATGGTCGCACGCTGTGCAAATCGTGTATACCGATCACGCACGCATGTAGGGATCGATGCTCGTGCAAACTACTACCAGAGAAAAGAAAAGAAAAGAAGAGAAGAGAAGAGAAGAAAAGAGAAAAAAAAAATCTGCGTTCTGCCTTTCAAGGGACGGAAATCAAGGGGCAAGGGTGAACCTTGTAGGTATTTGAAGAACCTCGAGAGAAGGAGAGAGGACGCGAGATGCCCGGGCGTTTTAAATGGCGCGAGAGCCAGCGCCGGATGAGGCGCTTTTTCACCCCAGCGAAATCTGTTGATAAAGTCGCGCAATTTGTCGGGACAGCGATTGATGATCACGCTTTATTCGGCGCGGCACGTGCGTTCCTGATCGCTTGAAACACGCTGGAATCGATCGCCTGCCGGACGTTCGTTCGCTCTCCTGAGCTGAGTTGATGGATATCGGTCGCCCGGGGAAGCACGGTTGCTCGTACTCCTTTTTTTTTTTTTTTTTTTT